TTTTTTTTTTTTTTTTTTTTTTTAAGTGAATGTTGGCAGGGATCATCAGGCTCAGAGAAGCTGGGGGTAAGGTCTGCGTTGTGCACGGAACTGAGTGCCAGCCTGGCTGCGGCTGGGCAGGAAGTATGCAGTATGCTTGCCAGCACCCAAGTGCTACAGTGTGATTTGGGCAGGGAAGAAGGCAGAAACAGAGCACATCCCTTAAGTGCTTTGGTGCTGGGCTTTTCCAGCTAGAAGCACTTGGGGACGTGCTGTGCTCCCTGCTTGCCAGAGACTGACATGCTCTGCCCCCATCTGTGGGAGGGCGAGAAAGAAGCACAAAGCACACTGGCTGCCTGTACAGAAGTTCTGTCTCCTGAAAGATTCTTCAGGGAGCCACTTCACTTGGGTTGTTCCTGAGTTATTTTTGTCCCAGAGGGGCCACTTTTACTCAGGGAGAAAGATTATGAACTTCTGTACGTTCGTGGTTTCTCCTGAGAGAGCAGGGACTCTCCCTGGATAAACTGTCTAAGCCCTATATGAGCTTTCCTTTTCTGAAAAGAAAATCCAAGACATGAAAATGTTCTTCTGTCATTTCACCAGACTTTTTCTTTTTTTCTGTCCAGACACAGGTGCACACACCTTCATGTTTAGAGATTCAGGTTCATGGCTTCTAAGAGGCCTCTTTGAAGTACTGTAATGAGGGCTGCCAATCTGTGTTTCCAAATAGTGTAGTCTTGACAACTGTTTCAACCCCATGGGGAAGGGACTTCAAGCCTATGGAGCATCATGCTCCAACCTGTGGAAGCAGGCAGTTTGCTCATAATACTCATGATGCAGTTTCTCCAATGACTCTGTAGGGCAAAATGCACAAACAGCATTGGGGGCAAGGATTTATCCCTCTCCTTACCAAAGCAGCATAGTCAGGCTCCTGCCTATTTGTACTTCCAATCTTGGGATCCTTTCTGTTTGGTTGCCCAGCAGCTTAGCTCCAGTAGGAAATTTCTCCCAGCCCTGTTGTGCCTGCCTTCTGGTGATTAGGTTTCTGTCATGTGATGTGGGAGGTCAGGATTCAAATCCTCTCAGGGGAAGAAGAACCTAGAACATGGGTGTCTCAGACCTACCCTTGTCCTTAGCAGGTGCCTTGATTGCCAGGTTACTGATAGATGGAAGGTGACTGGTCTCAATTCAAGGTCAAATATGTGCTAGTCCTGGTTTTTGATTAACTACAATTTGGGGTATGCATGCAACACGTCTGTGGTCCCATGGTAGAGCTGAGTGGACATAGATGCCTCTGAGGCAGTAGTGAATCATTTCTAAGTATATGGGGGGGGAGGAATTTAATCATATAGGGTGAGACTGTAATGACACTAGGCCTTTACACACAATTCAGGCTGTTGGATTTATGAAGTATAATGTTGCTGAGTGACTTAGAAGCTTAAAAACTGCATAAGCAATTTTATACATCAGCAGTGAAATAAAATTCTGCCTTTCATTTGGTTCCAGAAGAAAATGACCCCTGCTTTGGAGATTGACCCCTTTAGAGAGCTATGCAACCAACAGGCATTTTTCAGTGACACAGGACAGCCCTTCAAAGCAAGACAGCTTTTATTAATTTGTTGGAGTATAGTATGTAGGGTTTGCAGGTCAGAATTGGAAAGCACAACTTAATATGCTGAACCAAGCATCCTAACTTGAAACTTTGGTTTCAAAATATCCAGGGTTCATAAAAAATAACCCCAGCACTGAGCAGCAACCACCTAATTAACCTAGTCTGCCCATACCTCTGTTCTTTGTTTCAAGTTGCAGTCATGTTGTTTTCACATGTTCTGCCTTCCTTGGCTGGAAGTTGTTTAAAGCTAATGTCTGGTCATTGCTCTTCTATTGTCACTCCAAGGTAGCTCCTATTTACATGTTAACAGTTATCCATAGTTTCTTCCTATCAGTGGATAAATCTATTGCTTTTACGAATCCTACCCAGTCCCTTGTACTGCTGTCTTAGTAGGTAACAATAGAAAAATGAGTGGAAGAAACAGTTACACATATTTTCATAAAAATAATACAGTGATTTCCCATGTTTTTCACAGAAGCTATTTCTACTGTCATTTGAAACTTACAGTGAGTTCTCTGCATGTGCATATGTGTGTAAAACCAAAGGGTGCCTATACATGTGCTCGGAGGTGGGATGAGCATTTTAATTAGAGCATGTCCCGGAAAGCTGGGAAACTGTATTAAGCCCCCGTGGGTTTAAAAATGGCTGAGGGATGCTTTATCTAAACCTCATTTGATAAGGTTTAGATAAAGTGCCCCAGAAGTCATTTTTTAAACCTGCAGGGGCTGATACACGTGATGATGAGACTATGCTGGAGTGTTCCATTTAGAACATGGAGCAAATTGAGTCTACTCTGATGTGTTCTACTTAGAACATGAACCAGCACGTGTATAGGAAACCACGGTTTGCAGTAGGGTTGAAGTATTGTAGCCATGATGATCCAGAGGCAAGGGATTTTTGTAATATCTTTTATTGGAACAACTGTATAGCTGGGAGAGAGATTGGGCAAGCTTTTGAGCTCAAAGCTTGTTCAACATCTCTTCCAACACCCCAACCACAGTTTGTGTATTATGGGCATACTGAGGGTACCAACAATCAGACAATGGAGCCTCTACCCTTTTCTTCAGATCCTTCCTTAAAACTGGCTTCTTTCCACAATCTCTCTACTGTTTGCTTCCAAGCAAAGTATTTTTAATAAGCAAAGTGGGCTATTTGATTGTTAAACAGCAGTAGTTATGCAGTAATTACATTTAGACTAAGAAAACAGGATATGTATGAGAACACATTTTAGCTGATAGTTTAAATGTGATTCTGTATCTTGTGTTGACAAAGCAGGTTTTCCCTAGGGACATGATAGAAGGCTAGAGGCTTCTGCAAAATAAAAGTTATGAAACTGTTTGGTTCTATTGGCCATGTCTAAATAAATGTAAAAACTATCATGTTTTAGCTCACACAGTTTTAAACACTGCAGTCTTAAAAACGTGTTGATCATAGGCAGTCCTAGAATCTTAATAGGGGACCTTGGGTTGAACACAATCTGCTAATACATTTTTAAACATCACTTTATTAGTGTTTTAGACTACTCTCAAACTAGTTTAAACATCTAAATCCACTGCCTTTGTATTTTTTTCTCCTTCTCTCCTTTCATATGGCCTGTACTGTATTTTGTTTTCATAATGGGAGGAGCATGAAAAAGGGCAGGGCCACAGCACCTCAGGGAATTAATAGCTGTTCCACCCAATTTATAGCTGAGAGAGAGAGAATGCAATTCTGTTGAAGACACCTGTAAGGATTGTAGATGGAGTGCAGTATACATCTTTGATAGCTTGATGCACCTACTAGAGATGATACCACCTTTTGAAAAGAGGGTTGAAAAGAGCCTTACGTGATATTGTCTTCACCAAACTGTCATTATATATTGGGTTTTCTTTTATGTTATTACTTTCAGCCAGGTTGCTGAATATGAAAGAGAGGAATGTAGAGTTCAACCTTAATTTTTTTTGTCACTAGCCTGCAGGCTAAAGATGATGTTAATTCTTATGACAGCCTTCTGGTTTGTAACCAGAGTGGATACAAAAATAACCTTTTCTCTCTTTGTGCCTTAAGAACCCTCCTTCCTCTTCAAAGGAAAAGGACTTAGTTGTAGATGTATGAATTTTCAAAGTTATACAATGTTGAGTTTTTCCATATTTGTGGGATAATGTTCCCAGTAGTCTTGGTCTTCGGTCACAATACAGTGGTTCAAGAATTCTGGGTTGTATGGTGAGTTCCGCCACATGTTTCATGCATGACATTTTGGCTAAGATACTCAGACTTGCGTTTTATCCAAAGTAGGGGACTGTAGACTGTTCCTCTTGTGTATCTTGCCTAAAGTCGTTATCTGTCTTTCCTGATGTAATCCCACCCTGTGTCTTGTCATATTTATTTACATTATAAGATCCTCAGGCAAAGAGTCTGTGAACATAGTCACACTGCAAAACACAACACTACAGTGAGACACATGAGGTCATACAAAATTAGTTAGTTAAAGTACTGGAAACAACATGACCACATTACCATGGGCTCCATCCAGGCATATGTTCACTGTTTCTCAATTAGAACTCCATACAGTGTATCTCTACACAGTGCTGTGTTGTGCAGTGTATGAATACCTTGTGCATTTCATTCTCATGATAAACTGTCAAATGCATCTCTGACATTTAATGCAGATATCAAATAAGAATTATAATCTCTCATAAATTTACCCATTCATAAATTTGAATGATGTTATTTAGCTACAGTCCCACAGGGTATAAAGAGATGGTATTGAGATCCTCAAGGGAATAATGGTATACTAAAACAATTTTACCATATTGTAACATTCCCTATGCTTTTAAATGGGGCTAAAAAACTTTCTAGGTGGATTTTCCTATAGCAAATCTCAAGTAAATATTTTGTTTTGCCAGCAGACATTCAAATGTTTCTTGGCTTTGGGAACCTGACTCCCAGGAGCTCTTTCATCTCTGCTGCTGTGATGGAAAAGAGTGGGTTTAAGAATCCATTCCATGTCTTGGAAGTGTATTCAGTACTAGTCTGGTAGCAGAATAGAAGGGGCAGGAAGTGCTGTGTTGACATGTTATCTTTCAGTTGTTTTAATGCAGTATAAATCTATACACCATGAAGGTTTAAAATTAATTTGAAAACTTGTAAAAAAAAAACAAACAAAAAAACAAAAAAAACAAAACAAACCCAACAGCAAGTATTCTGCATAGTTATGAAATTTCTCCTTAAAACTGAATTAATATTTGCTCAAGCATCATATACACAGATTAAAGTCCTACATCAAAGGGTCCAAAAACCTGTAAGAATGAAAACAAGTTCAAGCAACATAGCAGTCTGGTTCCACAAAGATCACACAAAGAATACTTGTTCTAAACTCTTATTTTCGTATGTTAGGTTATTCATTCCCAATTTATCTTTTTCAGGTTGCAGTAGTAAAACTGAAAAATGCAGATAAGGTTTTTGCAATGAAAATACTAAATAAATGGGAGATGCTGAAGAGAGCTGAGGTAAGATGACAGAAATGTTTAAGTATACCTATAATCTCTTTTTAAAATTATACTGGGTTACTCCTTTTTATACAAAGGAAAAGCAGTCTTACAGGGATGGAACTTCACACACTTACTGATGATAAAGGGATTGGTACAAAAGTAGTTCTGCATAAAAAAAAATAGTATGAAAAGGCCCAAGAGAACATGGAGTCTGTTTAGGCATTGTGGAACGTTTATACAAGTTATTAACCCATCTCTGTCTTCAACATTACTTGCTTGACGAAAGATCTTTCAGTATCTTTCTTCCCTCTTGGATTGCAGCCCTTATAACATCATTCTTGCTATACTGAGATGAATACGGTTGATTCAGATATTGTCAGAATATCTGCAAGAGCAAAGCAAATGTTTTGCTTCAGATTCAAAAGTAGGAAACGATCAATTATAGTAGTAAAACTGGCTTTACTGCAAATAATTATACTACAGGCTTGGTTTCAGTTTATTTTAGCACACAGTCTTTTATAAATTCTGTGTTTGTATCACATTGAATTGTATAGGGTGAAAGTTTATCTGTACAGAGGACCTGGTCAAAGCCCTACATGCTCCTTAAGTCTTACTTCACCTAAGAAGAACTGCATAAGGCTAAGGCTGAATTTCACTGACTGTGCACAGTAGGAAATGGTTATATGTACAAAAGAGTCCAGTAAGTGTATTGACCAGTAATGAGAGTGCTCACTTCCCTGTCTTGTTGGGTAAGTAACTTAATCAGACAAGCCAGGGAAGTGAGGAATTCAAGAATAGACTTCTGTTCCAAGGGCTCTTCACCTCAGTTAGCCTGTTAGGTGATGCCTCCTTTACCCCTATTGTAAATCTCCACCCAGGTTTGAAGACCTTCTTGGTCCCTTAGCTGCTCTGGTTCCCTCCCTATAGTTGGAAGCTAAATTTTGCTATGGGTCTGATTGATCATGTATTTTGGAGTCAGAAAGTCATCTTTCTATTTAGGTCACATTGATAGAGGCCTGGTAAGCTTAGTTAAAGAGTATAAGACTTAGGAATTAACATGAAGAATTTCTAAGAATGTTAGGCCTGTCACAACATCAATCCAGTTTATGATTGGGCCCATTTAAGTGCCTACAGTAAGAAACAGGAGGTGGAGAAATAGAGCTCCCCTTTCCACAGGGGTAGCAACCTCTGCTACTTAAATCCATACCCTTCTGTTTATCTTAATTCACCTGTGAGGCCTGTTCAAAACTGCTTGAACATTATTCTCCCACTAGGCTGGAGATGGTATGACTCTTATTATTTATTTTGTGGTAAAATATTTTCACTAGAAAAACTATTTGTTTTCAAATATTTTAAATGTTTTTAAAATGTTAAATATTTTCCTGATAATTTCTCACCTTGATATTTTGGATGAATGGCAAAAAAAAATCTGGATATCTAGTCATGCTTGTGTCTAGGGTTGCATTTAAGAAATTTTATGGAACAAATATATTAATCATATAATCTGTATGTCTAATTAGTTCAAAGCTAAAAAAAAATTGTAGGTACACTAGTTCTTTAAATTCCTCTTAAATGTTGTTCACTTAAGCCTTTGTGACATTTTTTTACTGCTTTGACTGAAATGGATCTTGAAGCAGACAAACAGCCTCCAAGAATAGATACAGATATATCACTATAAATGTGGCTTGTTAAGGTACCTTTATACTAATATAACTGCAACCACACTAAGGCTAGGGACAGAAATTAGACATAAACCAGTATAAGTCATTGGAAACCGGTTCAAATATGTAACATAACAGAAGTTCAGTGCATATAAACTACTTTCAAAATGGCCAAAACCAATTTAAGATAAACCTGGGTGGATATAGTATCAGACTTAACTAGTATCAGACTTAACAATTTAAGTTGAATTGTTTCATTGAACTTCTGTCCCAGATCCCCTCCATATGCCAGTTAACTCACAGTCCCCCAGCATCCCAGGATGCTTTGCAGGGTAGGCAGGCTAACCTTAGCCCAAGCTATCTGCTCCAGCTGAGCAGGGAGGCATGGCTTCTGGCTTGGGCTACTGCAGACATGTGGCTGCATTTCCAGGATCAAAAGTTAATGTCTGTTCACTTGCTTATCAGTTCAATCTATGCTGCTTAGACTAACCTGCAAAGATTGAATCAATTCCACTTTGGGCCTTTTGACTGTCTGTACTTAATCTAAAGGTTTACTGATTTAACTACAGCCATAAGTGAACCACAGCCTTAACTAAATTACTTTAGATCTGTGCAAAAATCTCTCCTAAAATATTCCAGCCCAACTCCCAGGCCAGGACTTGAGACAGCAATTTCCTCAGTTCCCAATCAGGGGCAGGAAAGAATGTTTCAGAGCAGGTAAATTGAGCATTTCTTGGACCAAACACACAACTTCAGTGTCTCATTCACCCAGTTGAGATACCACATGGTGCAGAAGTATCTTGATATCTTAGGAGAGGTGTGAGGGAAAGAGAGAACTAAGCTGGACCCCTGCTGTAAAACCCCTCTGGATCCATCATGTTGTTCCACTTGCTCATGGGACACCGCATGTAGTCAGTGAGAAGGACATATCCATAAGATGGGAGAGCTCTTTGGTTCTTGTCCCCTCTTCCAATACTGTTAAAACCATATTTTATCGTATATAACACACCCCCATATATAATACACACCTTGATTTTGAAGGGGAACCTGAAGAAAAAGATATCTGTGATGAAATTAAGTAGTGGCAGCAGGGAATCAAACCTACTCCCCACACTGCTGCCATATTCATGCATCAGATAAGGCCCATAGGCTGACTGGTTGGTTCTGGGGCTGCATGCCAAGTTCAGAACTACATGCTGGCTCTGGAGCTACCTGCTGGGTCGGACCTGGCATACAGCCTTGGAGCCAGTGTGCAGTCTGGATTTGGTGGACCAGGTACATCCTGGCAGGTGGCCCCTGAGCTAATGCTCAGACTTAGAATGTCAGGTCCAGAGCCATGTGTCAGGTCAGACTCCACGTGCTGGGTCCAGCTCCACACTAGCCCCATGCGTTGGCTCAATCCAGTGCACAGATGGGAAGGAGGGCTCCCCATGGGCCTGGAAAGATGGCAGCAGCAGGGGGAGTGGTGGCAGTATTAACTGCCATGGCTCCCATAGCTGCAGCAGTTAACACTGCCACCATTCTACACCCCCCATAGAATCATAGAAAATTAGGGTGGGAAGGGACCTCAGGAGGTGATCTAGTCCACCCCCCTGGTCAAAGCAGGACCATCCTCAACTAGATCATTCCAGCCAAGGCTTTGTCTAGCCAGGTCTTAAAGACCTCCACAGCCTCTCTGGGTAACATGTTCCAGGGTTTTACTATTCTTCTAGTGAGAACATTCTTCCTAATATCTAACCTAAACTTTCCTTGCTGCAACTTGAGATTGTTGCTACTTGTTCAGTCATCTGCCACGACTGAGAACAATCTATCTCCATCTTTATTCGAACCCCCCTTCAGGTTGTTGAAGGTTGGTATTAAATCCCATCTCCTCTTTAGACTAAATAAGCCCAGCTCCCTCAGCCTGTCCTCATAAGTCATGTGCCCCAGCCCCCTCACCATTTTTGTTGCCTTTCACTGGACTTCTCCAATTTGTCCACATCCTTTCTGTAGTGGGAGACCCAAAACTGAACACAGTACTCCAGATGTGGCCACACCAGTGTTGAATAGAGGGGAGTAATTATTTCTCTTGACCGGCGGGCAACACACTTACTAATGCAGCCCAATATGCCTTTAGCCTTCTTGGCAACAAGGGAACACTGCTGGCTCATATTCAGATTAATTATCCACTGTAACCCCCAGGTTCTTTTGTGCAGAGCTGCTGCCCTGCCAGTCAGCCCCTCATCTGGACCAGTGCATGGGATTGTTTCATCCTAGGTGCAGGACTTTGCACTTGAACTTGTTGAACCTCATGAGATGTGTTTTGGCCGAATCCACCGATTTGTCTAGGTCACTCTGAATCCTCCTCTCCCCTCCCCTCCAGTATATCTACTGCTCCCTCCAGCTTGGTATCATCTGCCAACTTGATACGGGTGCGCTATATGCCATCTTCCAGGTCATAGATGACATTGAACAAACAGGCCCCAGGACTGACTCCTGGGGCACTCCACTTGATACCGATTGCCAACTAGACATCAAGTCATTGATTACTACTCTCTGAGCCCCGTGCTCCAGCCAGTTTTCTATCTATCTTACAGTCCATTAATCCAACCTGTACTTCCTTAATTTGCCTGTGAGAATGTTGTGGGAGACTCTATCAAAAGCCTTGCTGAAATCAAGGTATACCACATCCACTTATCTCCCTGCCTCCCTAGAGCCAGTCATCTCATCATAGAAGGCAATCAGGTCCGTCAGGCATGACGTGCCCTTGGTGATCCATGCTGACTGTTTCCTAATCACTTTCTTCTCCAAGTTCTTAGAAATGGATTCTTTGAGGATCTTGCTCCATGATTTTTTCAGGGACTGAGGTGAGGCTGAGCAATCTGTAGTTCCCTGGATCCTCCTTTTTCCCTTTCTTAAATATGGGCCCTATGTTTGGCCTTTTCCAGTCATTCAGGACCTCTCCTGATCACCATGAGATTTCAAAGATGATGCCCACTGGCTCTGCAGTTAATTCAGTCAAGGCCCTCAGCATCCTTGGGTGCATCCCATCCAACCCCATGGACTTGTATATGTCCAGCATTTCTAAATAGTTCATAACCTGTTATTTTGCCAGTGTTAGCTGCTCATCTCCTCCCCATACTGTGCTGCTGACCTTGCAAAAAGGAATTTAATACTTCATCCTTTTCTGCAATTTGTCACTAGGTTGCCTCCTACATTCAGTAAGGGACTCGCACTTTCCCTGATCTTCCTCTTGTTACTGACATACTTGTAGAAACCCTTCTTGTTACCCTTCACATCCCTTGGTAGCTTGTAACTCCAATTGCGTTTTGGCCTTCTTGACTTCATCCCTGCATGCCCAATCAATGCTCTTATACC